CTTACAATAATGCGGAAGACCGGTTGACGCTTGGGAGTGCCACGTACGGTCGGAGCGATCACCGGAACTGGGAAGAAAAAAATTGGCGCGCGTGACCGAGTCGACTGCGCGCCCCGAAGAGAAAGTTGGCCGCCTGGCCGCCCGAGCCAACTGGCTGACGCGCACCAGGGCGCGGACCGCCTCGTCGCAGCGGCGCCGATCGCCTCGGGGGCGTCGAGCCCGTCCGATGTACGCGAAACTCGGCGGCCGCTTGCTCGTTAGCGCTTTGTTAAGGCGCGGCGCTTTCAGCGAGCGCGCTTGTACTAATGCGCACTCGTCGCTGCTCGATTGTCGGCGCGCGCTGACTGCAGCCGCCCGGCCTGGCATCGACAAATGACTGTTTTTTTCCTTTTCCTTTTGCCTCTCGCTCTCTTTCTCTCTCTCTCTCTCTCTCGGAGCTCTCAATGAGGCAGCACACAATCGTCCGCTCTTCGGCGAAAAACTAGAGGAGCCGGCTGTGCACGCGTACAATGCGCGCCCCTCTCTTGGCGCAGCGACGCCCGCGCTCCGCTCTTGTTTGCTTCTCCTTTCCTGTCGACGAATAAACGGGCGCGCATTATGCAGCGATCGTGAATATGGCCATTTGCACCGGCACAATTGGCGCGCGCGCCGCTGCGATCCATTAGCTGATTGCGCCGACGGAAAAGCCAACCGAGCGCCGCCCGATCGAGCAGCTGCTAAGCCTCGGCCCCGAGGAAAGTCCCGTGCTCGATCTGTCGAGCAACGAGCGAGCGGCTAATTAATTGCGACTCTGAAAACTCGCTGCCTCCCGCGAGCTCGCTGGACGTGGGCTTTCGCTGGCTGATTACGCCGAGCGGACCGCTCGTACCTCGACGACTCGATACGCCGGCGCTCGAGTTGTCTCGGGTGCCCGCGCGTTACGCCTGTCTCGCTGTCGATTCACGGCAAAGCTGTTGCGATTGCCACCTCGCCAGCTGCCCGCGAGTCTTCAGTCGAGTCGGGATGCTAATTTCAACGTAGTCGCTGTAATCGATTCCCGCGCCAACCGCGCGGCCACAGCGGTCCCGAGCGCGCTGCGCCGCCGCGACCAGGTTTTTCCTACGTCGAACGCGTCGTCCACTTGATCCTCGGACGAATTTATAGCTTTCCCCCGAGAAAATTAGAAAAACGTCGGCGTCTGCACTGCCTGCCAACGCTTGAATATTCACAAAGACGATTAAATGACACCTGCAAAGTAATTTGTTCGGGAATGTAAGCCGACATTTGAATTATTTGCGGAGGAAGATGGAAGATAAAAAACTTCTATATCCCGGCCCTTCGAGGCTTAAACCTGTAAGCTGTCTTTATCTCCTCTGCTGGTTTATACCTCGCGGCATTATCAAGAAAATTTGCGATCACAAGTTTTAATGAATGCACCTCGAATGCTTAGGTACTTTTGCGGCTGCCAGCGCAAGCTTCTTTCCTTTTTTAATGCTCTAGCCGACGACCCCTCGATCCAAATTCGCAATCGCCGAGGAACATTCAACACTCTCTTCGTTTATTCTGCATTTCTCTGCATTATTTATTTGGCTCGATAGCTTTGAATATTGACAATGTAGGCACAATGAGAAAACTGCTTGAACGGAAAATCCACCGTTTCGACTAGCAACGAAGCAAACTTTCACTTTCATGACTTCCGTTATCCATTATAAGTTGTAATGAAATTTTTCCAAAGTAGGTTTTGCACTGGAAAACAATTTGCGTTCGTTACAGTAATTTGCAAAATGTCAAGATTTTCCTGGGATTTCTCCTGAAAACAGATCACGAGAATCGAAGAGTTAGGGCAATGAGCATTACCCGCGTGGATGAAGCTCGAAGATACGAATGTGAAGGCTGCACGATCATAAGTATATTCCCGCTTCGAGCACTTGACGAGAGCTTGATCGAGCAGCCTACGAATCTCGAGCGGCGCGGCACGCAGAACGTACGTTACGTAAAGCTGCTGCGAGAAAAAGGAAAAGGCGACGAGAGCGTTACAACAACGTCGCGCTGTCGCGACCGCGACGTCGAGGAGGAAGAAGTAAGGCGAGAGAGAAGAGGAAACGAAGGCCGCGATCGTGCGCATTGACAAAGCCTTGGCTCGGTGCTCCGCCGTGCGGCTGGCTTATACGGAGCATGCACATAAACGCGCACAGCTATAGCCGCGGGCGGATGGCGAAGGGCTACGTTGCAGCCGTATAAGCCGCAAATTACCATTTGATGGCCGAACAGCCAGACCGAAGAGCTTTTAATCCCTTTGAGCAGCAACGTGGCAGTGGGTCTAGAGCAGTCGAGCATGGCCATCTGCTGTTACGTGGCTATATGGCTCGCCACGCGAATAAACATTCATAGGGCCGCGCATCGAGCCACGGCAGAAGAAAGTCGAGTGCGCTGCCGTGCGTCCGTTCGGGGGCCTTGCCGGTTTCAGCCTCGGCCCCTCGCTTTTGGCGGGCCAACGACGCGCGACTGCAGCTCGCTCTCGACCTTGCTCGTTCGAATTCGACGGATCGAACTCATTGCCGCCGTCGGCGGAAGCTCTACACGCGGCGATTTGTCGGCAAGGCAGACCTCGCGAGCCGCCGGACGCAAATTCAAAAGACCACACCCGCGCGACTCGCTACGACCAGCTCCGGCCTGCTCGCGTGCACGCGTGCGACCGCTCCGATGGAAAATCGTTGGCGATTTCACTGCTGGAGCTTTTTATCGCTGGCCTCTCGGAAGCCAATTAAACGCAAGCAGGACCCGCAGTTGCCAGTCGGCACTGCTCCACTCGACTGCCTTTTTTTCGGACTGCTTCGCCAATTTTACCTGCCGCTGCTGCTGATGTCGCCAATGGGAAAGCTAAAGTACGAGTTTTTCGTGGACGGGAAAAGGCAAGCAGAGAGAGAGAGAATTGCCGACCTGTGCACGAGCGAACAAATCAAGTTAAGACTTTAGTTGAATTTCGGAGTTGCCGGGCAGCGAATCGCTGCGCTCCGAGAATAAAAATGATTGCTTCACTTCTCGCATGAACGGAACAACAGTCGAAAGCACTGCAGCTTAGTGACGGTATAGACAAGAGTCGCAACGTGAATTCATGGAGTATGCGACTGCGAGCAGAATTTGCATATCGTCGTGAAAAGTAATACTATTCGCGAGCGTCAGAATGAATTGCAATCGCAGCCCATCAGCCTTTCAAAGCAGACCGGCAGCGAAGAGCCAGCAAAGCCAAACGAATCCCAAATAAATTGGCATGAATTACGGGCGGCGCGTCGACGAGGAGGACAAGGAGCAGGCGGAAAAAAGACAGCAACGAGCTCGAAAGTCCGACGATAAAACCATAGCAAACACAGTCGGTGCCGACGATATAGCACCGATGCGGCCGATGCGCGATCCTCCCTATTTCTCTCTCTTTCTCTCTCTCTCTTAAACTGTAATAAGGAATGCTCGTCGGCATTATGCAGGCAGCTGCATATGTGCGGCCGCAAGAAGGAGAGCAAGATCGAAAGCACGGGGAGACGAGCTTGCGATGGTCGGGGGCAACCACAGCACGGTGCGCTCGTATGTGCCGCGCGAATGTGCTCACTTTGACTTAGCTGCGGCAGCTGCTCGCTTTCCGACTGACGCGCGGGCATCCTAATTAGCTGCTTCGCCTCCACGACTGATCCGTCTGTGCCGCAAGTCCCCGGCAAACGACTCTGCGCGCTGCGAGCTCGGCGAGGCATGCAGCGTCTCGGTTTCCTCGCGAGCTTGCCACGTACAGCGAGCGATTATTCAGAGCGAGTATCGAGCGGCTCTCGTCTGTCGCCCCCAGCGCGGCTTTTATTTTTACCTGACGCCCCCCTACGTAAACAATCAAGCCGACTGAGACTAAGCCAGCTATTAATAATATACTTCTCCATGTGCAGCCTGCTGGTGGTCGTCTGCCCTGCCCGATCGATATCGCACTTTCATCGTCCACTACGGAAGCAATCAATTTGGCCGCGCTTTCCCGCGCGCCTTCCAGAGACCGAGCGGCGAGCGGTCTCCCGCTACGTAGCTGCGTGTCAGCGCCACCAGCGCGGCCGCACAGCCACCGCTCGAGCGAGCAACGTCGTTGAACGGACCCCCAGCGCCAGGACGGGCTCGCGAGGCCGATTGCCAACCGAGGCAAATCGACATCGAGCGCGCTGCTCCCCGGCGCTCGATACGCGGCAACGCTCGCCTCGGCTCTCGCTCCGGCCGTGGCTGCAGACGGAGCTCAAAGGTCTCGTAGCAGACTACCACTCCGACCGCGGCCCAGGCGAGTTGCGAGCTCGCGTCCAATTCGATTCGCAGCCGCGAGAAACGTATGCAAATTATCCGCTCGCTGCGCCCTTTCGACGCATCCGCTCGCTGCTAGTGGCGGCGAGATCGCGCGCGATTATCCGATTTTCGCCACAAAGCCGATTCGTGCGCTTTGATCGATTTCAAAGGCTCGACCATTTTTGTCTCTTTTTTTCGCCTCGCCTCAGTACTGCCGATCCGCTCGCTCGGCCACCCTTGCCCGTTTCCCGTTATTTACGCGCGAGATACCTTTGCCTACACATCAATCAGAGCTCATCGTCACGCACTCGTTCGCTTTTCTTTCCGCCAGAACTGCCTTTCCTTGGATGTGCATTGTACCCCATACGTCACGTACGCCATGAATTTCAATTTGCACGATTATAACTGTTAGCAGCACGGATGGAACTCCAAGCCATTTAAGCACGTCGTCGATTGTTCCATACGAAAAACAATAGGTGGAAAGAAAGTGCAGAAGCTGACGGGGGAAGCGGAGTAGGGCAAGAGGTTAATTGGGATTGCAAAACATTCCCGCGTGCAAACTTGCAGCAGTCAGCGGACCGCGAAAAACGAGATGGGCTTGTTTTCTTTCGGGCTGGCCATTGCCGATTCGGAAAAACGAACGTACGAACGAACCAACGACTGAGTAGGCAGTCATTGCTGGGAGGATTCGTGTGCATCGATCAACAAAGGTGACTAACCTGAGCAGAGCTGCAACTGAAAGATCGCAGTGGCAGCAGCTGATATCCCGGCCGCGGCAGCGATAGAGCGCTTGGCCTATTGCAGTTGCAGTGCCAGTGGCAGCATCAGCGGCGCGGCAGCAGCAGGTCCAACGACGAGAGCAAGCCACCCTCTCCGTCAGAGGGTGCGCGGACGACTGAGACTGGCGGCAGCCAGTGCGCGTGGGTGTGTAGGGGGCTGCCGCTGTAGCTGGCGTCGCTTGCGGGCGGGCGGGGGTGGCGCTAGCCGTCGGCTCGAGCGCGCGAAAAGGGGCCCCTTGTAGCTGCACCACGCAGCCGAGATTCGACTCTGGCGATCGCGTATCACGCACTCGGATATCGAGCCACCACTCAGCCAACTCTTTCTTATGGTCTCCTTCCTGTTTCTTTGTCCACGATAGACAGCGCTCGCAATTATTCAGCTCTCGTCGTCAATCAGCCGATCAACTCTCATCGGTTCATCCAAATGCTACGATTTTTTTTGTTTTATTATTATTTTTTTGCATTTTCTATTAATTTCCCTGTGATATTGACTTTGGCTACGCGCACAAACAGCAGAACTCGAGGTTGCCCGGCGGCGTCCGAGTGTCGCGTCAGCTAGGCGTCTACGACTACCCGCGTCGACAAAAACAACTCGTCCATCAAATTATTATTCATCACATTAGCCACATAATTTTTTCGTTTTTGCGATTCGCGCCCATTTCAGTAGAACACTTATTGAAGCATGCGCAACGACGGTCATAACGTTTGTGGGCCAAAGACAATAAAATATTCAAACGTATCTCTCAAGTGTTTTCAGTTCTAATATAAAATAATCATAACACATCATAATGTTCTTTGCACTCATTCGCCAAACACATGATATATCCAGAAAATATCAATATAAGTATACCACGGTACCACTTTCACAATTGCCTGAAGAATAAAGTCAATGATACATAAAGATTCACTGTTGAGCTTGAGATATTAGCGTCTATAACGCGATCACTACGCTTCAGGATCACATAATAATTTGGAATAATCAAACTCTTGAATATTATAACAATACCAAAATACAACTCTGAAAATCTACTGAGAAACGTTAATGCTAACGGTAACGTTGTAACCAATAGTTTTTTATTCAAATTGCGACAATAATTATATTAAAAATAGTTCATTTTCCAAGCGACCGATTTTAAAAGTGACGTACGTGAACGTAGATATTAAATATTATTTGCATAAACAGAGAGAGAGAGAGAGAGAGAAATATATAGCTTATCAAAAATGTGTAAGTAACTGGCGGCTAAATAATACTATGGTATGATCTAGTTTGGCCAATAGACAATTCAATCGCTAGGATCACATCGAATTTTTCCTAATCATACATAAACAAAACGGATCTTCAACGTAAAATACTGTCACACAGAAGATCTGGACAATGAGTATTAGCAGTAGTTCTTCTTTAGCTGGGCACGCAAAATTTTGCCAGATGGATTTTTCGGGAGACTGTCGATGAATTTGACTCCACCTAAAATGATAATAAATATTTGTATTTGGCTGCAATATCATCACTGACTATGCGGTAATACGTGCCTCGCAATTCTTTGAACTCGGTGACTTTCCCTTTCACAAAGTTTTGCAAATCTTCGGGTTGGAGCTTGGCCGCATTCTTCAATACGACAAACGCCCTGGGAACCTCTCCGTACCTTTCGTCCGGGATTCCGATAACGCCGGCCTCTTCTACATCTGGATGAGTCCTCAGTAGAGCTTCGAGCTCCGCAGGTGCTACCTTAAATGATTTCAGAATATAATCGCAGACACCTGTTTGTGAAATTATCATTGCTCGACATGCGTCGACATACGAGGTAAAGCAGCATCAGTTGCGTGAAATACTCACTTGAAAACCTTTAACTTTAATCAGTTCTTTGAGTCTGTCGGTAACGTAGAAATCCAAGTTGTCGTCGTAGTAAGCAATGTCGCCGGTAAGAAGCCAGCCGTTGATTATCGTTTCGTCGGTGGCTTTTTGATTATTTAAATATCCTTTCATGACATGCGGCCCTCGGATCCATATTTCGCCAGTACAGCCGGGTCCATCAACGTCCTTGCGCGTCACTGGATCGACCAGCCTCACGTCGCAGCCTTTCACGGGTTTCCCAATGCTCGAGTATTTGGTACCGGTCGTTTCGAACAGAGCAACTGGCGAGCACTCGGTCAGCCCGTAGCCTGGAATTTCGACATCGGCGTTGCTGCTTCAAACTTTTCTGCAAGTGCTTCTACCAGTGACGTTTGCAGCGGCTTTCCAAGCGTCACTTCCTGCTCGGCTTAACATTCGACCTAATACAACGCTCACCTTGGCAGAATTTCACTTTATTGCGATCGACTTTGTACTTGTTGTAGAATTTTTCAACGTCAGTTTCAGAAAGAGGAGCTGCTCCGCTGATGATGTTACTGACGTTGTCCAAATATTTCGATTGTGTTAACTTTGTTATTGATAAAAACATGACCATCGGCGGTACTAATACCAGCGATGTCACCTGCAATAAGGCCGTCATTGAGTTTGCGATGGGCATCATTTCGCGCAGCTAGAAATCGGCCAAGTTACCTTGTGCTCGTCCAAAACCTTAACGCAAGATTCTGGAGTGAACTTTGGCAATGTAATAAGTTTGCTACCAATCGACATTCTCGCCAGCATGATAGTAGACATGCCATATATGTGGTACAAAGGCAATACAACCGGAATGTTTTCCTGGTAAGAACCTGTTGATTCATGAATTCTATCAGCATACTTGTCAAGCAGCCAAGTTAGCGCAGATAAATACTGCTCAAGATCAATCAATTCCACGCTCGCGCAACCATCGGCGACTAAACAAATTCGCTATCGCCGAGATAATGCAACAGACAATATTTGTACTTTGATCCCGTGCGTGGTATTTTCGCTACTGTTTCTTCAGGAAACACTTGGTAAAGATAGCCGAAAAAAAACAGTCATACCGTGAGCAGGGGTAAACAGTTCGTTTCCCGTTTGCTTAATCATTTCCACATTGGAAACCAGGTTACGGTGCGTCAGCATAACACCCTTGGGAAGTCCAGTAGTACCGCTGGAGTAAGGCAAAACTGCGACATCGTCTGGACTCCATTGGCGCTCAGGTACCGGAGGAAGGCTTTCCCCTTTAGCTATTAGATCCTAAACCAACCGATCTATCGTAAGATCGCCAATGCGACGGCGGGTATAACGCGGCAAATAAGAAAACAATCCTAACGAAACAGTCTTACCGCGAAAGGAATGACACCTTCCGGCAACGGTTTTGTGGAGTCGTCGACAACAATTACTTTCATGTCTGGCTTATGTTTGCTTGCTGCTGACATCACAGTCGATGCTATCTCGGCCGCGGTGATTATAGCCTTCGCTCCAGACGACACGAGTTGTCTCAGAATCTCGTCTATAATTAAACATGCATCTCGATCAAGTGAAACGTGATTTATCACTCGCTTCGTTGCCTCATCCCGAACGATCGATTGGCGAAGCATTAAACTTTTACGAAGGATTGTTATCCTGAATTGTGTCTCTGCCCTGGTCAATGCTTACTGCTCGACTATTTTCGGCTGGTGCGGATCTCGAATAAATTCGCGACATCGTAATAATAGTCCGCGGGACGAATGAGCATGAGATTGTTTTTAATTCAAGACGCGCGAACAAGAAAAGCCGATCGCGATGTGCACTCTCACCTGCCGTATACATGTGATTGACCGTTGTCACTATAATGCCTGCCTCAATGCAGCCCAAAAAAGCGATTGGACTTTCCGGTAAATTAGGCAGCGCCACGGCAACCACCTCGCCTGCTTGTACGCCCATGTTGAGCAAACTTCTCGCAACATTATTTGCGCCATCTCTTACCTGTCCATAAGTATATTTTCTACCGGTCACTCCGCACACCTGGTACAATTTTCATTCAATTTTATTCTTTTTATTTGTAATCAAAGCACAAATTAAATGTTCATCGGCGCACTACTTAGCGCAGTAATGGAAAATTATTTAGTTTGTTTCTATTTTTTTTTACTTTTGTTTTCGTCAATAAAAAAGTCTGAATAATATTAAATTTATAATCGCAATGTAAGCCTTTCTTTACGTTTTCATTGAACAATCTTAATATACATTGATAACAGTATCAAATCTTGAAATTCTCTGATAAATCGTCACGAGCGAATGCCGATAAAATGAAACGCGCATATGAAAAAATAGGCTCGTCAGGCTTTGTTTTGCAAGTCATTCCCAAATTGGGAGCAAGCGTTAACGACGTAACAGGTGTATCCTGTAACGTCGGCCAAAGTGCAAACGGACACTATTGTTGATAATTACCGATTTATTTCGACATACGTGGACCCATTTGAAAGCTGCGTATCGACTTTTTCGAATGAACACTCGCGCGATCGATTTCATAAAAATTTTGATGTAAACTGTTTTGTTCGCTGGAAGAGAGACAATATGATTTAGAGCGTCCGCGTTTTGAAAATAAAGTATTTGCAAAAATTAAAATAACGTCTGATACCAAAGGATAAACTTTGCACTTCAAATTTTACGTACCGCAGCATCCATATTCGAGTAATTATCTAACGTCGCCCAGACATACTCTGATATCGACATTTCTGGATATGTAATTATTGCGCCATAAGGAGATCGTAATATTTTTTCTCCGTTTGTTCCTTCAATAACTTTCCTTTGAACTGCACTTGAAAATCGGGAATGCAATTTTGGATTTTTCATGCTCGTGTTTTCAATTTTCATTCCTGCCTGCAATACTCGGCGTATAAATATTGCCATTATGTAATTTTTTTATGGACACAAAATTAAATTCCTATGGGCTTTTTGTCGGAATAAATTCTCGTTTTAAATAGCTCGTGGGTAGCTTCTCAACTGTAATGAAAAAAAAATTTTCTTTTTTAAAGTATGCATGTATAAAAATTTGTATCGTACAGAAACAGGTTATCAGACGGTGATTACAGCACGTTACTTTATCCACTCTTTGTTCCAATTTTCACAAAACTAAATGCATAAATGCTCAAAATATGAATGCAAAACAGTACATTCATGTTTGAATAATTAAGTGAAAGGAAAAAAAATATTCAATGTAAATTTTCTGTTTCATTAGCAAAAGTGTATTATACAATTATTATCGCTACCATATTCATTTAAATTATACGATACACATACGTATGAGTGTGCGTGCGCGCGCGCGCGTGTGTGTGTGTCTGTGTACTGACGTCGTCATTTTTATTTCAACAATTATTCAATAGAATGACTGATAGCGACAAATATTACATAATAAATTTTTTGCAAATGTATATATATATATATATATATATATATATATGTGTGTGTGTGTGTGTGTGTAATTTTTGCAAGAACCAATTCAAATTTTTAAGTCGATTTGTTTTGTTTCATCTGCTACTAACTGTTTACATAAGAAGATATATCTACTTTCTCGTGTGTTGTTGGCAAAACTAAAGTTATAAATGAAAAGACATTGCAAAATGAGTTTAATTTTAAATAACTGCGCACTTCAAGATAATTGCAGTGCGCACTGGCTCCTATATACAGAACAAATATATGTATATAAGTCATGGATGCTTGCATTTCTTATCACAGATTATTGTTAATTGTAAAACTAACTATGTTGTAGAAAATTAATAAGCACGTGTTTACAAACTTACAGATAACGTGAAGGTAAGTACGCTCTGATGCTTACATATATTGCAAATCTGCATATGAGTGCACATACCACAAAACATAATAATGATAAGCCTAACCTTAAAACGTAGATTATTGGACGGCCGCCTACAGGAGAGTGTTCAACGAAAAAGCTTGATCGAATAAACTGGCTAAGTTACTACCGCCAGACAATTGCTAATAACAGTGTGCTTACGTACATCTATAACTACGTATAAATGTGTATATATGCTGTCACACTGTCGAAAAACTCTGCAGCCACAACAAACATTAATGTAGCGCAATATAAAGCTAACGAAAATTAAAAAAAAGAGCAAAAAAAAACGAAATATAGTCTTTAAAAAGAGCACACAAGGATAATTAAAATCCAAATATTAAAAAAAAATCGCGGTAGATGTCTCAGCCGAGCTGATGATCTGTCGGGGACAAGCCCGCGGAAAAACGTTCAACGGGATATCGCTCGGCGACAGGAACGACACTGTCAATGACAACAGCTGCCAGTCAGTTATTACAGTGCGTCTCGAGATCCGATCCCCCCCTCCCCTCCCTCCCCTCTACCAAAATATCAATATAACACGCTGAATTAGATTTTGCTCCGTCATGACTCCGATGAGCGTGCACTCATCGGAATAACATACTATTCTACTCGCGCAATGGTAAGTTGCATGGTTGTTCGTGCGCTAAATTTTGCGTTATATGTTACTTGCACGGAACAAGAGCTGTCAGGACATTGTATTATTCGCGTATCTCTAAATTAAGATATCTATCAATTGCACTGAAAGAATTGAGTCTTACGAGAAATAAGGTCCATTCATCGTTTAGTTGATATAGGAAAGTGTCGGAAACTACAAATAGCTTCACAGAAATCAATAAACAAGATAAAAGCGGGCATGCCATTTGTTAATTGGTTCAATTTCGGAGTCGAGAAATCACTAAATATGTCACGCGCTACTCAGTGAATCGGCACTTTCGTGTCAAGCAGTCAAGCTTCGCTTCTCCTTCTCGCGCGCGCACGATTGCCGACGAACTCTGCATTTATAGAAAAATCCTATGCCCATTAATCGTCACTCATTTCGAAATGGCTGCCTAAACGGAAATAGCGAAATTCCAGGTTAAGCATATTTAATAGTAATTTGAAAATCTCCAGGTGCGAATGAAGTATATTAGGTGTATTGGGCGTCGATAAGTACGTTGTCGGTTGGTATGTGCGGAAACTTGAGAAGCGGCACTTAAACCAAATTGTACACATACCAACATCGAATAACGCTGCGCGCGAATATCCGGCCAGTTTATTGTCGATGATTATCGATTCGAGAAAGCGCCAGAGGTTTGCCAACTGGCCACTAAATGCGCGCAGCTGCGAGGGTGCGCGACGTAGAGGAGGCCAGCCGCCTCGAACGAATGAACTCTGGCCGCTGCTCGTCTTCCGAACCAATACCGTTAGCTGGACTATTGGGACGATCGTTCGTCCGCGGGATCGCGACGGGCCGACGGTGCAGGCCATCACGCGAGGGTCGAGGGAAGAAGCGCGCGAGCCTTGGTGCACGGGCAGGCGGGCGAGAAGGAGGTCGACTGCACCGTGGCGCTGGGTCGCTGCAGCAGCATCTATTGATCCCGGGTGGAAGCGCGGCGGCGGCTCCGCTGCGGGCGCGCGCATCAGCGGAGCGCAGTGTGTGCAGGTGTGTGCTGGTTGCAGTCGGAACTGGTCGCCCACCTCGCCTGCGTGGACTCGCCTTCCCTTCTTCTTGGCCGAGCCAAGACACACTCTCGCGTCTCTCCATTCTCCGCTCGATGTGCGTCGATCGGTCGGCTCTCCTGCCCTCGCTCGGCGCTGCGCTCTTTGTCCGACCGCCCTCCGTCATCGAGCTCTCATTGTTTTCTCTTCTGACCCTCAGCTTCACCGCACGTGCTCGCTGCAGCCAGCTGTTTACGCTCTGGTCCGGATTCATCTGCGCGCACATTCCGCATCCGCACTACACCGTTCGAATCGCCCACTGCAGGTGAACCTTCTCTTTTCGCACGCATGTCTAACTGCAGCTTTCCGAATCACTTTTAGAATTCGATTGTAGTCTTTGACCGTTGCACGATCAGCTAGATGGACCCATGTGACATTGCTATGCGCGACAAGTGAACTGCCGTTTGGCTTGCATTCGCTTGACAGCAACTTTCTTTTTTTCGGTTGTATACGAACTGATGTCGAGCTATTCTGGAGAAAAGCGTTTTCTCTCGTTTTTAAACCACTCATAATTTCTTATATTTTCAATACCATCAGATATTTCGTGTTTCATAACGATCTTACAATCATGAATAAACATTAATTTTGAAATTATTTCAATAATTGGAGTAACAAAATTCGTTGTGGACAAGCGTCAAATTATCTCTCTTAGAGCCCACTTAGAGGCAAATTCAAACCCGTAAAAAAGTTATTGCAATGTTACTCGTGATCCATTGTTAATTTTCGATATACTTTCACATTAAGTTCACGCGAATAAAAAAGGTAATTGCGAGGGCCTTTGGCTTATTTACGCCCCAAGGAACTTCTGACGCGTGCTCTTAAAAGAGCAAAAAAAAAAAACGGTTGCTGTAAAACAAAATTACTGTTTCTGCGACAACGCGAGAGTACGAAACTTTGATTGCTTAACAGTAAAGACACGATGCCACGCGCCGTGCTACTTTTGCGCTCGCCACTGCGAAATCCAAGCGTAGTCACAGTCCTATATGCCGGGCCCACCAACCTTACATAATATTCTTGATTTCGATTATCCTTTTTGCCCAGCGGCCCGAAAGTAGCGTGTTCTCGGCCGTGGCTCAGCCGGTATCATGCTAATTTCGGCCTCGCTGGGCAAAAGAATAGTATACGCACGACGGCCGGGAAAGAGACAAGCCCATATCACCTCGGCTTTGCCTCGGTTGTAAAACACGTGCTGTGGGCTTGTCAATATCGTCCCGGCCTATGTACGTAATCTGCTACTCCGTTTAGCTTATTTATTTAGCTTATTTATCATAGTTAAATTTTTTCGTATATATACAATCAATGACCAAACGATCGTTTTTTTCATCAGGGAAAGTCAAGAGAATCTAGAATTTTACAATGTTGGTAATCTCGCTGGCAAAAGGACCTCGCCAAGCCCACTACAAAAATGTTAATCTTGATTACTAACGACAGCTACTACAAGGTAAGTATGGGTATCGTTGAGAGAATTCACACTCTACGCGTTTTCCGTGTACACCGTCCTCATAACTTTTCAATTGGACCATATTTTTCATTGCTCTTGTTCGCAATCAAGCAAATAATTAAACTCACTTCCATGTACCGGCAGCCTGGCACGTGGACAAGCTTTATCGCGTGCTTGGAATTATTCTGATCGATATAATATTGTTATACGAATGATGCAGGTTTACTCCTTGTATGAATTAAATATGACAAGGTCTTGTTTCTAGTTTGGCACTCTTTGGGAATTAATTGGGAACTTCCCAAATGATTTTGTCTTCTAAGAAATTGATTTAGAGTACTTAAATGATGTATAATATTAACGTACATTCTGATTTGTTATACGGCAAACTTATTGTTAATCTACAAACTTTGTTCAAGTAGATCACAAGAGCTGTACAAACACCGGAGAAAGTTTACCAATATGATTAAACTGAGAAGGTGAAAGTTCACCTGAGTCATAAATATTAAAAACAATGGCGCCTTATCGTATCGCTGTGGGTGAGTAACGATAGCTTGCTTCCATTTGCTTTTTCAATGTCAATTCTCGATAATACAACTGACATGTACATGTGCTAGCCACACTTTGTCTAAAGGATTTTTGTGCTTTCCGCCTGTGCTCGTTTGATCCTTCCGTTTTTACAATTCTTTCATAGCCATAATTATCCTTTAAAAGCAAAATATAGGAGGATTGATTCCTTTAATTGACACGACAGAGCCATTTCGTAGACATCTACCTTATGATGGATACTTATTACATTAGCGCCAGGCTTTATATGAGCGATTTCGTAGCTCGTCCGCATGATACAAATCATTTTTACACACAGTTAAATCGGTGAGCTATACGCACAAAGACGGTTTTGATGAATTAATTTTTCACGAAAAATGAGAAAACTGGAAAACACGACCACTAAATGTGTCTATAATGCAACTTCAAATTCAAAAGACGTGCATACATTTCCAAAGATGCACTGCACTGCGCAAAAGAGCATCGTACCAAATTCAACTGCGGCTGAAAAATGGTCTGAACGGAGCGGACGTGGCATGAAGTCGCTTGTACGAATTTCGCGCCTGGAACGTAACACATCTGACGTACGTGCAAATTTATCTGATCAATGATGCAATATATCGTGCAACTTCAGTCATAATAATAGTCAATTCATTTCTGTTAATGCTAAATAAATATTGAGTTGCGTTTATTATAATTGAATCGAGTACTTTATTGCAACGGTAAGTTCGACAATATTATCTCAATTATTATAGCTGAATGGTTATAAAAGTAAGAACGAGTAATTGATTTTCTTTTCTAATTTTAACTTGGTCGATATTTTCTTAATTGTTCGTAGCCCGACAGGAGGCATTTAGGATTAATTAGTTGCCAATTTTATATTGTTCATAGTAAATTTGACATACATATAATAATAATCATGATGATCTATTAGTGTATCAAATGCTTGCTTATCCACTTTGCTTCAGTGATATGCTCAGTAGATTTTTCGAAATTGAAGGTCGTCGAATGTAACGATGCTTTTTTCCAGTGGCAACGGTGCTTACCGCAGTAATCGGTGTCTGCTATGCCGAATGCCAGAGTGAGTAATTAGTGCTTTGTGTAGAAACGCTCGATAAGCCGCGAATCCCATAACCAGACTTTGCTCGACGTGAAGCGTGCATGTTTGTACCGTCATGTCCAAGTAACCGTCTGCTTAAGGTTCCTCCGAAACGAGGACTTGCCGCGTGGCCTGCTTCGGAATCGGAAAGTTTTGTTGAACGTACGATAGCAATAGCTTAGACTGGTCGAGCTTGTCCAGGCAGATTACACGGGATTGATCAATTTAATAACTACAGCGAGCGTTTGCCTTGTGTTCGACAGCGAGGTCTGTCTATTGCTACGAATGCGACTCCTGGACGGATTTGCGATGCAAAGACCCGTTCAACTACACCGCACTGCCGAGGGACCAGCCGCCGCTCATGACCTGCAACGGGTGCTGCGTCAAAATGGTTCGGAACGCCAAATCACGTAAGTGAGCAGACCGCGCGACGCACTCCACTAGCGTCCTCGGTCGGAACTCGAGAACAGCATTATCCAAAACGAAAGGCCATCGGACACTGCCATTCGGTTATTTGTCGATGAAACGCCATTCCCCTGGGTCGTCGCGAGTGCATCGACGCAGACGGCAGAAGCGGGACGAAGGAGTCGAAGGAAGAGAGAGAGAGAGACAGAGAGAGAGAGAGCTTTGCGAATGGTCTTTCATCGACAAGTCGGCGTCGCAAAATTGACACCGACATCGACCGTCACTCGCATACACGACAGTCAATACAACACAAAAGACCGTGCGACATTCGACCACAGTCGGCCACGACGACGTCACGTTGTAACGGCAAACTATTGATATTTTCACAGCCTACGAGAGCGTCCGGAGAACGTGCACGTCGCAACTGCAGATAAACTTATTCATGGTGGACCACGTGTGCATGATGGAAAGTACCGGCACTGGTCACATGTGCTTCTGTGAGGAAGATATGTGCAACCGCGTATCCTCCCACCTGTCAGCCAGTCCCCTTCTTCCCTACCTCCTGTTCGCATGCCTTCTCGCCCAGTCCGCCCTCAGATGGCCTGGCTTGCTTTGCACCTCGCTCTGATCCGCTTCTTTTATTTGCCCCCTTCTCTAGCAATGCCGTGCCCCTCCGCCCGTCTCGTCTAATTGCTACAGCTGGCCCGTCCAACGTGAGAATCGTCGAGATAAGTTTTCATTCTGCTCGTTGTCGTTAAGTTTGCTGAACTTTCGTCCGGAACACTGTGATAAATAGATTGTAATGATTTTAGTGTCTTCCGCGCATGAAACTGACGGAACCTTTTGTCTATCTCGATAATACTCACAACGCGGACTCCTTTCGTTCGTCCGGTCATTTGTTTTCCAGAAATCCAGCCAATCGACGCGTTACTTCTCTACTATCTCGCAACCTATTGTGCTTTCAATTATTCTCGAATGCTCTCATTGCTGTTAGAGTAGATTTCGCGCTTTACTTCAGAGTATTATTACCTTCGAGTCTCGACGGGATTCCATTAGACTAATTTCGATTATGTTTAATAAATCTCGATAAGTGACCTGCTTCAACATTTTGCGTACAAAGACGACCTAGCTTAAGATCCAATGCAAGTAGACAAAAGGATTATGATGTAGAATCAAAAAAATAGTAATTACAGCCGAGTCATTGCCATTTATGTTATCGCAAAAACATTCGCGTGATTTTCGTTGCACACTCGTAAATAGACAAATATAATACTTGAGGACAATAATCGAACAATTAGCACAAATTATTTATTCGTTTTCGACTCGGGTTGTCAATTTTTAACTCGAAAAATACATAAATACAGTGGAGTACTGTTGCGCGGTACAATTGATAGAAAACACTTTGGTGAAACTGTTTAATTATAAGTGAAAAAGATCTGACATTTGATAATTGGCGATAATCGTTTAACATCCCATCTTTCTTTTTACTGATCATTAATATAATAACATGTATTAATTACGTGGATTCTCTTTTACATCGAACAACGTTGTTCTTTTTTTATTTAATATATATTTGTTTAATTTGATTACTTTTCTTTAAAAAAGAATAGAAATTACAGTAAAAATATAGCAATATTATACATATTGTGCAATTTATCATAATATTATATCTATCCGATTCATAATAGAAAATCAAGCTGAATGTCTCGCGTGGCATTAACGTAGATAAAATAGCATGTTGGCATGAAATTGTAGATTAGTGTATTCCTTTGATCAATAGTGTGGTTTATAAGTAGCAAACTGTTTGCAATCAAAATATATCTGAATTAAATGCAAAACATATAGAATCGAGCAGTTTTACAAAATTTTGTCTATTGATTGTATTTTGACAGATTAATTGTTGTGAACAGTATGTGCAAATATATTTTACCCACCTTCCACTCCGTTAGTTCAAAGAAAATGCGGCACTCCGTGAGCCTTCAGGTTGAGCTCTGCTACAACAATTGCTCAAGATCAATCTGAACGCTCCTGTCCTCACAGAAAGGCTTTTGTAGAAAGGTCTTCTGCCAAGTAAATGTTGCGGCAAGGCGATATTTCCTTGGCAGACCGTGCGGCTAGTGTCGTGTCATTTGTTCATTGTAGCACGCGCGGCTGTGAGACCACACCTCACCACTCAAACCTGTTCGCCGTTGTTCAAATCATTGAATGATGCCAGTATTCTTATCTAGGAATATAGTTAGACCAAAAGACTAAGGAAACATCGAATAGGAACGCACAATGACGATATGGCACTCTCAAATAAAAACAATTATACCAGAATTTCCATTCTTATGAATTTTTTCTGAAGAATGTACTATATTTGTTTTCATTTGAGGGATGACTCTCATCAGTAAATGTTCATATATTTAACTTTGAAACATGGAAAGAAAATCAAGAAATAATTTTTGAAAACATATTGTTTCTTTGTACAATTTAATTTTGTTGAAAAATTCTTTGCAAAAATATATTAGTTTGAGTTTACTATAAGTAGAGTAAGAAATCATATATGCCTTCAAACTAAAAATAACTTTGGTCTTAAATTCAGAAGTTCTTTTAAGTTTTTTCTGCCTGTGCTGAATATTTTTTGAATTTCGACGATTTTTTCAATGCTGTCGTAATCATCGATTGAAAAAACTTTTCACAATCTAAGTTTTTTATATATTTCGATAATAATAGCATTATAAGTGAGATGTGTGGCCTCACAGCTGTAAAATCCACGTGCCATGTGAAGTACTACTATCGTAAAAAGTTTTCTACACGTTATGTCGCCAGACTGAATCTCTGTGACAGCTAACAGCAAGAAGCTTCTTATCATCTTACAAATAAGTGAATGTATTATGAACATTGAAAGCATAAGAATAATCAACAATGCCATGGTTTAAGTTTTAAGTGCGTAATAATTATAGATTGCTCAATTACAATAAGTATCAGACTTCTTTAATAATAATCAGTCATTGTTTCTAACACAAATTTATATTTGTTGCGTATGATATATGTTATAGAATAAATATATTTGTTTGAAGAATAGTATTGAAATTATAAATTTTCAGCTGCGCTGAAATAAGTTGACTGTACTGATGAATGCGTATAATATGCCTTGAATCTTACATGTTTAAGAAAGCCAATAAAATTGTCGACTAATGAAGAAAGTAAAAATGTTAATAATCGCACCTTAAGTCAAAAGTTTACGAAATCAAAAGAATTTATATTACGTCTGTTTTAAACGCAAAATAAACATTTTATTGCGCATGATAAAAATCTAAATTTCATGAGTTTCAGATTAATGAAATTGCATTATTAAATATATTCTACAAGTTTTGTAATAAAAATGTTTAACAGTGGCTCTTGATAATTATTATCGTTCAGATTATGTAACTGGAGTCCAATAAATAATCATTACGATTGAACATCCTTGCAATTTGTGAATTTATTTCATAGGTATTAGAAACTAAATAAAAAATAGTACCTTACCTAAATAGTGAGGAAAAGTAGATTATTGTGTCGTGTAAGGTCAACACAACGTGTGAAAAATGCGAATTCGAGAGCGCGCTTTGCGCCAAGCGTGCGGTTAAATCGTACATTCCGCAATGGTTTTATCTTTCTGTGGTTTTTAATGCCCGAGTGAATCAAGGCTGACGAATTACGTGAGAAAGAAACCACCTAAGCCAAATCTCATTTTCCGCATTTTTCGGGCATCTTATTAGGGAAAAACAATTGCACGTATCCCATATAAACGCATCTAAATTAATTTATGGAACTGGGTATAGCTATATTTGTTTAAATCACTTTTCCGTTTCTGGTCAACCAGGGAATAATTTCAAGCGAATTATTTTCAACTATTATATACGTTAACGTATACCTTTACGTATTCATAGCAGGAATCACGTCTTGAACTAGCGTTGGTTGTGCGTAAATATTTTATAATTTTTTTCTTTTTTTGTTAATCAAGATTGGACAACATTTTCTTTTAGTTTTAATGGGTTTTATAGAACATTATGGTATAAAAAGTTTGAAAAAAATAAAAACAGCCGTAAATAATTTTTCGCATTTGTTTTTTAATTTATTTTATGTAGATTCACCACAAAATTGTTACGTCAAGAAAAACACGGTTTAAATGTCAGTAGTACATTTAGTGAACAATAAATATAAGATCATGTTCGTGAATGAAACGAAATAAACAGCTGCTCAATTGATTACAATATATCTTTTTGTACGAATAGCTTAATATCCAAATATTTCAAGTCAAATTTAAAATATAGATTGATATTCAAATGATAATGTAAAATTATCAGAATATAACAATCGAATTTTGCAATTTCTACCTGAAACTTGCACATCGTAAATCTATGTTTTGATTAATTTTGGAATGTTACAGCAAGAAATATCCCTCGATATACTGTAGCTAAGAAAACAATTAACAAGTACTATCAATCGCACGACAACATCTATTTAACTAAATTTAGCTCACTGTTTTCTTGCACTTGTGCAAGTTTTAACGGAACTAGCAACCGAAATAAATAACTGGTTTTTTTAATTAATCGGAAACCTGTTTACTGGTAACGAACACAATGATTAACAACATATTTCATTTTTTCGTTATTGCGCTGCAATACCATTTAAAATCAATAATGTAATTTTTTTTATTTTTTTCGAACTTTCTAATGCTGTGTAACGTAATGACCGCACTTTTGACAAAGTGTATCATCTGAAAATGCTTCGTCATCCAGAAGCGTTATATTGTTGTCTGAATAAATAGTGTTAAGACAGCTAATTGCTCCAATGGTCTCACTTCTAGGTATCTTTTTGGGCAGCGAATCCTCGATAAAATCTTCGCCTTCATTGGCTCCTTTGAGATTGTCGTTGATTATTAATTCATCTTTGTCAGGGCAACCTAAGTGGTCTGCGAGAGTTGCGCTAAAATCTCCTAAATTCAATTTTGGATGAGTATAAGCTTGATCGGCACGCGATTCTCTTTCAGTGAAGAGTAAAAGTGAAAAAGGAAGAAAACTAGATTATGCTCCTGTCGTGAATTTAACTATTCCTTACCCATAGTAGCTTCCAAATTATCGATGCTCAGAGTGGATTCGCTCTTACCGAGCGAATCATCGTCTTCTTTGAGTTGCAATAGATTTGGGCAAGGCTCAGACAATGGACGAGCACAGGACGCATACCCCTGATAAAATTTGTCAGTAGGTCATGTTGATGGAATTGACATAATGGAGTTTGCAAATCGTAAACTATCATATGTTCATAACAACTAACCTGAACTAAATCCATGCGGGAGTCCAAGGAAAACTGTTTTCCGGACATCAAAATTCCTCTAATTCGTCGACGCATTGCTAGTCATGAGAAGCAAATATTTTTCGTATTTTTTAAATTTTGGTTTTGTTTCTATCTGACCATATTTCTACGAAGCTCATAAGGTTGCAGTTGTCAGAACACAACAGGTAATCAATTAGCATCGAAACAAAAGGACCACAGGCGCGAAGCCTCGCATGCAACGCCACTCACAGATAGCAACACAATGACTTATATACATATATGTGAATGAAAAGTAAACAATAAGAACATCGACAATAAATGTGCGGGAATGAACGCAAAGGTACTCGCATGCTGCAACGTGTACCTGGACTGTCCCGAGCCTCCAGGCGTAGCTGGCCAAAAGTCTTCATGCACTCGTTGAAAACGTCGGTCGCGTCGTATATGGCGGCAAAACTGCCGTTCACAATTTTCGGTGACATGGGAGAATTGGCCAGCAGGAGGCTCGAGCCGAAATTTTCATTTTTCTCGCGAGTTTCTGAAAATTGTAGAAGGCCTTTACCGTTTCACCGATGGGCTGCTTATTACGTCACAAAACGCTTGATAGCTAGGCAATGTATGTTTAGCGCGAGTCGCACACCGACGCATGAAAGTGTCGAGTACATATGTATAAAAGATTGATCCAATTGTCAGTGTTGATGAAAAGTAAGACACGTCAGGCAGTACTTTCGTTGCTTGGCAATTTGCGGAGAGTCATTTGATCACGTGGTTCGTGACAGAAACATAACTGGCGTGAATTACCTGCCAATGGAACCTTCGCCCTCGAGGGGGCAGTGTGTCCAGGGCCCAGAATTTCGGTGGCGGTACTTTTGATTTCCGCCCAGTCACGTATTATGTCTTCGTTGGTGGTACTAAACAATGAGAAGCATCGGAAGAGAGATGAATTAGTACGATCGCGCAAACGGTGAGTAATCATAATGTTTGGAAGCCTACGACGAACGTCCAGATACGATACGTTCTCACGGTAGGCGAACTAACTTGGTGGACGTGACGGTAAACCGAATGACGTAATTGCCATGGAGCGCCGCGGGTACGCAATGCACGCGGCCTCGAGAATTCATTTTTTTCAGCAGCCGCTCCGTCAGCGAGTTTTCGCCGCGCAATCGGAAGACCACCATTCCCAGGTGCCTAGCTGCTGGGATCTCGAATCGCGGGTCGGCCAACGCCAGGGCTTCGAATTTCTGAGCGAGCCTGACTCCCTGCGCAAAAGGAGAGAGAAGCGCCGATAGCAGTTGCTCGAAACCGCGACGACGAGTCGACGACGCCCGGTGCACTTACCTCGCGGATGTGCTTCTGCAAGCCGGACACGCCGTAATTTCTGATGACGAACCATAGCTTCAATGCTCGAAATCGCTTGGACAACGGGATCTGCCAGTGCTAGAAAAAACAATCGTTCGGATGTAACGAAGATGCGCTCGTCGCCGTTAACTTTAGCGCGCGAGACCGTGCGCATGCCTACCATGTAGTCTATCGCGAGACCTGCAACATCACGAGAAAACGATCGGTTGGTCATTTCAGCGCGATAAGTTCGTATGGATAAGATCTGGCGTGCTTATCGCCGTTACCTGAATTCTCGTGCTTCAGATAGATGGGATCGACGTTGAACGTTCTGTGAAGCGTCTGGCTGTTCTTCACCCTGCAGCGTGCACGGCAACGATTAATCAGACATACCCATCCACCTCTAAGAATGCACGATACAATTAAATGTCCGGATGATCGTACCATAGCGCGGTGCAGTCGAAATGAACCATCAGCCACTTGCTGGGATTGAAAGCAAAGGAATCAGCGTGTTCTATTCCTTGCATCCAGTGACGAAACTCCGGGCATATGAACGCACTGCCAGCGTACGCCGCGTCGATGTGCAACCAGAGAGCATTCTTTTCGCCTTCATGCCCAAGAATCGTGAGAGGTAGGGGGCGGGGGCAAGGCGCGATCCATCACATCGGAATTAGCGTGATCGATTGATTGTTAAACAGAGTAATGTCGAGTCTACTCACATATCGGACCAATTTCTCGGAGATTATCAAACGAGCAAGCGCCCGTAGTGCCCAGAGTGGCGCAGACCTGTAAGTCAATCAAGTCAGTACGAACAGTAAGAAACAATAATGATGAAAACAGTGGTCCACTTTTGTTATCATTACTGTGCACTGCAGCAATTTGATTTGCTTGCAGCAGGGAAACGTTTATATGTAGCACGATGTGCCGATCATGCGGCTATGCCAAGCACATTCCCGTGGGGGCTAACTAAAAGCACAAGGATTGGCTTATTTCAGCGAGGCAAACAACAATGCGATCCAAAGATAATTAAAGTAAACGAGGTCTCGTAAGAGGATCAACAGGATCCTCATTGTTTGCCCGAGACTCGAGTCCTCGAAGCATAGCGCGGAAGAAAGAATCCACGAGAGGCAATCAGCCGAATTGGATAGGTGTACATCATTCCTAATCAGAGATGCTCGATGAACGTCGGTCGGTTGGCTGCGCCATGACGCGCGAGAGCCGATCGAACGAGCGGTGCGTGACGATGATAGGCGAACAGTCAACTTACGAAAAAGGGCACGAGTCCGAGTTCACGGTCGCGATCGAGGGCCTCGGCGAGCACGTCGCCTCTCATGCTGAGATTCTCGTCGGATTCGATGTATCTCATGCGCACCAGTCCGATGAGGCCAGCCTTCTCGACGCTGGAGTGGGCCTGCAATCAGGGAGCACGCGCACAGTTACACGGGCAGAGTTATCGTGGAGCGGAGGACGCGCTAGTCGAACCTGATCGGAGCAGTAGGCCACGAGTCTGGCGTTGATCTCGGCGGGCAACAGGTCCGGATGGTTCTCCTGTATGTCCCGGATGGCTCTGGTCCTGGCGGCCAGGAGACTCACGAGGGTCGCCTCGCTGGCCGTAGTCTGGATGACGCCGCCCCCGGAGCCAGTCGCCCGATGCAGAAACTGGTCGGGCAGGCCGATCATCTTGCCCAGCCAGTTCATCACAATGGTCTCCAGCTCCGTGCAGACCGGACTAGAGGCCTGCGGCGCGACGCGGGCGTGAGCGCGCTGGTAAGACGAGGCTGCGCGCGCGCGAGATTAGTTACCCAGGTGAAGCCTATGCAGTTGATCGCGTCGGCCAGCATGTCGCCGAGCAGGCTGGCGGGCGAGTTGAGCGCCGGGAAGTAGGCGTGCATGTGCGGGCTCTGCCAGTGGGTGACCCCGGGCATGATGCACTTCTCGATGTCCTCGAAGATGTCCTGCCAGGCCTCGCCCTCGGAGGGCGCCGATTGCGGCAGAATGTTCCGTAGGTAGCCTGGCGACACGGCCGGGTAGACACGCCGAGTGCGGATCGTTTCCAGATAGTCCGCGATGTAGTCCACCATCTCCTTGCCTGCGCTCGCACTCGTCTTAGCCACTCTCTCTCTCTCTCTCTCTCTCTCTTCATTTTCAGGGGAAATGGCGTGCTATCGATCGACTCGAATCAAAGAAAAAGAAGCGAGGCAGCGCCGAGAAGAAAGCGATAAAGTCCGCGCCGGAAATCGTTTTAAAGAGAATGAATGGAAGAACAAACGAGGACGACAGCACACTTTCATCTCTCTCTCTCACTCGGCAAAACTATCAGTTTTTTAATTAAAAGCAGATAACGGCTGCTGAATCGACCGATCTGCGACAAACACTCGGCGGGAAACACATCGCACGAAAGTTAATTGAGATCGCGAGCGGCCTGCGCGCGCACTAACTGTATTCGCTAAATTATTCCACGATAAATAACGCATCGAGAGCGATGTCTGGCCTGCAGTTTAGCAATCAAATAAAGCGCCGTAAAGCCTCGCCTCGACACGGGCCTGGAATTGATATAAAGGCGTTTACTGTCGGCTTAAAGGGTTCGCGCGATAGAGAACGCGCGGCAAAGCCAATATCAGGCTCGTAAAAATCAGCTTGGCCCCTCGGATTGCAGTTTATTCGGAGGCGCTCATTTCCACGTCTCTATCTCCACCTATATGTATGTATATATATACATGGCTGTTTACTACCGAGAGAGCTGTCGATTGATCTCGGCTGGAAACTAACGTTGCCGAGCGGCTCAGTACCCATTGCCGAAAATGGCAAATTTAGTAGGGAGACTGGGTAAGCGTCGGATGCCTCGACTCCTCCGGAGGGGAGTAAATCTTGGGAGCAGCGGCGCCCCGAGGCGAATTCGCAACTCACCGTGTTTCCGATACTCATCGATGTTCATAGCTGCGAGTGCTGCCTCGGGAGACGATCCAATGAATAAGCCAAGGGCCGGATGAGTTCTGCTTGGACCGGGCACTACTCGGCGCTGCTCGACTCGCTGCGGATCCTCGGCGTCCTCTTACAGGACCCAAATTTCGAAGTTCCGATCGCAGCGTTTGACGCGCATGAGTCCCCCAGCTGGCGCTGATTAGCAAAACGGAGCGAGCGGGTTAAGCCAAGTCGATCGGCCAATCGATCGGCGGGAGTCGTGCGGCGTCGTGCGGCGTCGTGCGAGCGTGCGTCGCGACGGCTGGCTGGCTGGCTGGCTGCTGCACCTGCGATCGCGCGAAGCTTAAGTCTCATTGCGGATGTCGCGAGCTATTTAATTTAGCCCCCTCCCCGATGATTTGTAGGGATTCGCCGCCGCCGCCGCTGCCGCCGTCGCCGCCGCACATCGATCGCGTGTCATTGAGTCCGAGCTTATTAGGCTAGTGTCGCAGGCTCGTCATGGCCTACACCTACATTGCAGCCGCGCGCGCCAACACTTCGACTTTCACTTCCCGAGCGCGGGCGATTTATAGGTCATCCCAGATTAATTATCAGCGAGCACATCCTTACGTAAGCTTGCCGGCTAAGCTAGCCGCCGCTCGAGCGTCATCTCGCCGCCTGCAGTCGACTTGCCCCTCGCGGCTTCGCTCGGCTCGCTGTCGCCCAAACGCACCAGGCCTCGCGGGCGAGCGCCTCTCGCCGGATGCCGAATCGAAATTCGATACTCGCAGATGCCGCGAATCCTCGCTCGTCACCGCGCCGCGACTGATTGAACCCCGCCCTATTGCACCACGGCCTTGATTTTCCTTCGCGAGCGCGCAGCACCGATGCGATCGGCCCCCCCGCGTGTCGTACGTGGCGGCGAGCGAGCTCGGCGGTATCGCGCCTCGGATCGCGAGCGAGATCGCGCGAGACGGGCCAGTCCTCACCCGGCGCCCGTGCCCGCGCGTGCCGAAATCCGTATCGAGCGATCCGAGACAACACCCGCGAAGGCGCGACAGCGAATGGCACGAGCGCTCGATTATTACGCGAAGAGCCACTCCATGCGTCATTGCACGATCAAGCGCGCGATTATTATTTCGGAGCAATTATCGGCCGATCGATCGCGCAGCGTAATTGTTATTTTGTTGTTTAATCGGGCATGTCGCAACGGCGCTTGACCGCAGATCGCAAAAAGGAAAGGAAAATCAAAAGCGAAAGACCGAGCGAGCTTCGCGCTAAAATCAGAAGCATAGTCGATATTATTAAAAGCGCAGCCTTCTGCCTCTCTTCCGCTTCCGACTTTTGTAATTTCCCGTGGCTTTACGAGCTACTCGTTTTATTCCGTGCTTAATAGACAACTCGGCTGCTTCTTTCTCGCGGAAAATTCAAAGATAACCGTCACTTCGATCAAATTAACGCCGACTGACATCCCGAGAAAGCGAGAAGAAACCAGTCGACCCTTCGGCCGAGCTGCTATTTTTCGACGCTATCCTCGCAGACCACAAACGAAGTATAAAAAGTTACCTGCGCGATATACCGGCCACAGCACCAAGTCGCTCGCCGTGCTCCTCTCTGGTCCGTCCTTCTCTCTTGACTTCTAGCTGGCGCCGCTGTTCGAAGATCAGCTACTGGACAAACGCGGAATGGCGCGACAGGAGCGCTAAGCGACAACTACAGCGAGACTTGCAGGGATAAATTTTTTTTTTTTTTTTTTTTTGCGAGCTGATAGCCGCGATGTGGTGAAGGTATGGATATTGCTCAACAAGTGGCGGCTTTTATATAGCGCTGCTGCTCTGCGCGCGAGACAAGGGCGAAGGGGCGCAAGCGCCTGCATTTGCACATCTACCAGTAACCAGCTCTACCGATCCCCCCTCCCTGTCTGCCCCCTTCTCTATCCCTCACTTTCTCCTCTTCTGCTGCCCCTCGAGATCTTCCAGCTTTTATTCAAATTTGAAAAGCTCGACAATTTCTTCAGCCAGGCTTCTCCTTTCATCGCTTACTGCCCAATGACAAAATACATTACTTTCAACTAATTCCCATAGCCATCTAGTCAGCCTTTTTTCAACATTCGGTTTTTCTTTTCTTTCGTTTTTCTTCTTCCTTTTTTTATTGTCAACTAGCGGTTCTATTCAATTTTTATTCGTTTACGTCATCACGTACAGCAACGAACTAAACTAATTAACAGCCCCCATTATCATTCAAATTTGTACCCATGGCTTTGAGAATGCGACAACTCGTTTAGGAATACTTGACATTTGATTTCTCGTCGCTACTTAATGTCTAAGGTCGAATACTATTACCATAACAAGTCACAACTAATACAATTTGAAAAAATCCTTGCGCTCTCTTGAGTTTTGTCGCTTTTTCTCCAAGCTCATATAACCTGGATGACTCTACATTTCATCATTTCTACTTATTATCCCACATTAATCTTAGAATACAAAACGCTCTCTGGAGAAATGCTGAAGCGAGCAATTGTTTCGTTATCATTATTATTTATAACATCCAAGGTGATAACAATTAAACTTTCACGATAGGAGATTGTAATTTATCGCTACCGTAAATTGCAATCGTTGTAGATGTAATAACGACATTTATTAGTAGAACATTTTTAATAATATGAGAAGATAATTAAGCGAACAGGGATTCAAATAAAACTCCAGGCGATTTCCAGCGCACTTAGATTGGAGAAAAAATAGAAAATTGGCTCAAAGTAGTTGAAGAAAACCTTGAGTGCTCGAAAAATAAAAGTGTGCGTAGGTGGCACAACAATAAAATAATTCAAGCAGCGCTAACAGGAAAAAGAAGATAACCCTGTCGTAGTCAAAATAGAAATTCAAAGATAAGTAAATTTCCGTTCTAAATATAATTATTGACGATACAATCAAGAATTAGTCAAAGTATACGAGTGATTAGAAGTAATAAATTATCAATAACAAACAATCACAAATTACTTGACATCGTCATAAACAGATATCTGGAAATCTGATACATAAGGCTACATTTTTTTATTTCACAGGCATCGTTTATTTTATTTCTAGAATACCAATATAACGAACTTGTTCTCCTAATTACGTTAGTAGAATATTTGTTTCCAAGAGCCCAGCAAATCTTCACGTATTAATAGTCATTTATGTGCTTGGACGAGTCGTACGATGTGGGGAGGATGTTTGTAGCGCGGGATAGTATAAATCCGAAGCAGCGAGCGAAGCGAGGCCGCGCTCCTCGCATCGCCCCCTCCCCCCCACCCCCATGCTCCGCGCTACAATCTCTTAATCGCTGCCGCATTTTGCGCAACTTGTTACGGAAAAATAGTGGGCATGTGTCTCCCGCACTCGCTACGCTCGTGCGGGAATCACCTGCTTTGCGCACTCGTAAGTATCAATTCGTATACATTCGGCTAGGCCATAAAAACACATCCTACTTATCGACAATTTAAAAACCTCAGCTACGCTAACTTGCCGATAAAAATTAGATCGTTTTTGGTTGTTAGTTTATAGCCCGAAAGCACGGATTCATAAATGTAAGTAATAAAATAGTTTAATAATTTTCTGATTCTAATGCTTCATATTTACAAATTGTTCAAGTTCACTTGTTCATGAAAATTATTTCTAGATAAGTGTAAGCACGTTTCTAGTTTTATCAATAACTTTGACCATTAATGGCCGTAGCACTGAACGGCATCTATTTATGACACTAGCATTAAATTCTCTATCTACCGTCTTATACTTTATTTTTATTCTTCATTCAATATGTTTTTTTAATTCGTAAAATGTTGATAAAAATGCGAGAAATTTCATTTTAAGTTTGGATGCATAGGAACCTTTAAGTGTGATTCGAAAGATGTATGACGTAATGTTGATTATGTTAGGGTTTTAACATTTTATTTACTTGCAAGCGTTAATGGTTGCACAATGATTTAACTAATATCCAGGGCGTTAATAGGATGACTGTTCGATGCTACAATGGCCTTCCGTGATTTGATTGTTTTATATGTTGATTCGTTGGTTTTTCAACTATAAACATTCGAAACGTTCAGACGTGAAGGCCTCTATATATGGGAATATTGCTGACAAAAATTGATTACATACGCACATGTAATTGTTAGGATCAAAAGACTGCAATTTTATTTTTATTTTCAGTGACATCAAAAATTTACAAAACCAACGACATTATATCATTTTTAATTATCACTATTATAAAACTCATTGTCTTAAAAAAAGTTAAAAAAGGTCCATTGTTAAATTGTTCAATAATTTTATCCATGAAATATAGTACTCATTAATTCATATGTAAATTATCATGTGTATCAAGTTAACTCATAACATAAAAACATACCGTAACTATTGTAGTCACACGAGCAAGTCACGTATATATGTATATCGTAAGGACGAATGCGCTTCTCAAATTTTAACAAGATTATTTCAAAATTGTAAAAATAACAGGTGATAACGTGCACTCATACATGATGTATACTGCAAAAAAGTTTTTATCTGATAAATTACATAACTTTTACGATATATACTGAAAAAAATTTTATCTAATAAATTATATAACTTTTAATTATAATACTAGATATATCTCGCCGTAACGGTATTTCAATTATATGTTACACACGAAAAAATTTATACCGAATTTCATCAAAACATCATCCAAATTTCACAAACGACGAAAGTTATCGACAACTCGTTTTGAAAATACAGGAACGGACAAGCCAATAAATGCGATGAGCAGCTTTTTCATTGATTCGAACAAAACTATTCAAGAAACTATTTCAAACATTGTTATATCACATTGAGATATTGCATAAACATAGAAATGTTAAGTAACTAAGTATAAAAACCAAGAAAACACATGATCGTAGTTTTTGAAGTCATAATAACAATAACAATAACAATAACAGAACAATAACATATAACGTATTCTTTCGCTTCGCTCGGGCGTAAGCGCCATACGAGACAAGAATCTATATACCTGAAGATGTATCGTACGGTATTTTTTGATATGACGCGTGCCAAGTTCGATTTTGAGCGCACGTCTTTGGCCGAGCGTGCGGGAAAGAATTTTGATTCTTGAAAAATCTCCGACCTCATCTTTAATGAAATAAAAGTATACGAAATCCATAATTATCTACATGCATTACTGCACTGATTGGAGAGTTGGCGGCGTTTTCTTTACTTTGGCCGAACGATTTACATCAATTGTTTTCAAGTTTTGGGCAATCACAGCAAATCTATGTACTTCAATTTAACGGGATCAAAATAGTCTTCGAAGATACTTTAATGAATATCAAAAAAATCAATAGCATAATAATTAATAATATTCTTTATTAATCGATTATTCTTGCCTTGTCTAACGGGCTTTTTGAATAGCAGATATACTATCAGCGAAAATCATTATTTTTGTTCGCGCTGAGTATCACATTAATATGCAGCTCTTTATTTCTACTAAGATAATTTTAAAAATTATTCGAACTATAGAACCGGAACGAAGTAATTCCTTCTTTTCCAGGATTTTAGTAATTTTTCCCATAAAGCAAGCTATACGAGCGAGACGTGTTTTCTAAATATTTTGGGGCGTGACTAAAAGTAATTACTCTAATTTGTAGAAAATTTCGTGGTTCAGGATCTTGATTCTTTTTATTATATTGCTTTGTTTTGGTCACCGGGCCATAATACGAACGGAAAGTCGTTAGTGAAGAAAACAGCCGCATCGATGCCCTCTTTTATCAAGTTACAAGTTCCGCCACAAGATGGCACTCGAGTACAGTTTGCAATGCAGCATCTGTATTTTTTTTAATTTGCGATGTTCGGTCTAGGAAAAAGGTGAAAATATGAAATATATATGCATCGAATAGAAATAACTGCAGACATTAAGAATCGATCGAGATGTAATAAACGGCGAGCCTTTATTCACTTGAAGCATAATAGTTTGCAATCAGAGAAACGAACAGCTAAAAAAAATTGGAATGGTTGAAGATGCCAAGCTAAAGAAAGGACTGCGAGAGCAGTTGGACTCGCGTCGGGGGAGGAAATGAACTGTTCGCGTGGAATACGCTCGCTCGAGCGTAGGCTAATCTCTCGAGAGGCGCGAGTCGATTGTACAGCTTGAATATCCTGCGAAGAAGTAATGCGTCGATGTACCGTTTACCGCCGCGAGCAACGCGACGGCTGGCTCTTGCCAAAGGAGAATACGGGCCCCGACTCCGTGCGTCCGTATAGCTGTAAGATTGCGCTTCGGCGGACCACGTGCACGCGCTTTTGCGCGTTCATCTCTCCGCGATGAAAACGTGCCTCCGAGCTCTCCGGTCGATCGGCTTCGATAACGATCGCGACTCGACGTCTAACCGTTAATGCCATCATTTTCGCGCGATCGCCGTTCGCAATGCCAAGAGTCTCGGCCAATGATCAATCGACGCAGGCAAAATCAATGGGATAGCGTTTCGACACTTGAATTGATGAGCGCGCGAGCGGCACAGCATTGCGATCGCTGGGACGAGAATGCACGCTGGGCCGCTAGCCCGGAGAGAGACGCTCCGCTCGGCAGCCGACCTACGGCGGCCCCTGGTCCACGGCCCCACTCGGAGCTGCGCCGGGCGAATTCGACCGGGGCGAGGAGCGAGCGGAGGGCAGAGAAGAAGACGCGCGAGCCTACCGC